AGGACTGCCCTCTGACAGACCTCCTACTAGAGGAAAGCTCTGTTAAATTAGGAAGCCTGGCAAGCTTAGTTGAGAAGGCTGCACAGTAGTTTTGTTTTGGTATTGTAATCTTTAACACAGCCAAGATCTAACCGTGTTGCAAATTTGTCGCTCCATCAGAACGAGTTCTCCTGGACCATCCTCTGCTGGAACCGAAAATGACATTTTGTCTGCACGTAAGGTGGAGGACGTGGAAGTCACAAGCTAGACCTCGTACAGTGTCCTCTTTCTGGGAACTCCACCAGTGACAAGGGCGCATTGATTCCAGACTCAGCCCCTGCCCTTACAGGAGCCCTTTCCATTTCCTTCGATGGACGTTTCGCCTACCATGGTGGATCAAGGATGTGGTGAGGAGGCAGACGTGCAGCACATCCTCCTTGTACACACCTAGGCTGTGCCTGAGACGCACCTGGATTCAGCCAAGACAAATACAGATTGACTGATAGCCCCAGCATACTGTGCCTCCTGAGTCAATTTATACACTGAAAAAACCATGAGCGAAATGAACACGGAAGGCTTATTTAGCATGCATACAAGCCTTCGAAATAGACACCCTTGTTATTTTCCCCCTGTCCTCCTCATTTTATTTCTGGCTTATCTGAAGGCTCCTTAAAAATTAAAATGCCAGAAAATATCAGTATTGTCAGGAATTTGACCAACAGTCCCTTCTGTCCAATAACTCAGGAGGGGGAAGAAAGCAGAACAGGTTCAGCAGGTAAAGAGCCGTGATTTCATGTGGAACAGCAAGGATTTCTGACTCCCTTTTTTAATTGCTGAAATTAACCCAAACTATAAAGTTATAAACAGGTCAGTCAGCAGCATAAAATACTGAGCCAGAGATAGAATGGCAGGTTGGGGAGGGAATAGATATTTTTTCTGTGAATTATGACTGTGGAGTTTATTGTGTTCTGGTACTCAAAATAAACATCTCAGAATTCTTTAATTCTAAGAATGCATCTCTTGCATCTGGCTCCAGTCGGTGGGTCATGGTAATTCTAGTAAAACAAGAGAAATCAAAGCAGATTCTACTTTGCTGAACTCAACCCACACTTGCAGAAACATCTCTTGCAACTTCCAATGTTGGAAAGATTTCAAGATTTCAATATTGGAAAGGTTTCAAGACATCTCTAAGAGTAATCCTTTGCTTGGATACTGTGCTGTTCAAATCTTTCCATAGTCATTCTTTCAGTAGCCCCTGGGAGAGGAGATCTGAAGAGTGTCTTCTTCATTTATTCCCTCTCCATCTCCTGTATTGTATAAATTGTCATTTATGCATAAATGGTGTTTTACAGAGTGTCATAAAGAGAAGAAAAGTAGACAGTCTCTGCCACCACAAAACTTACCTTCTAAAGGGGAAAAATATTGACATCCCTCATCAAAATGAGGTGTTATAAAGAAAATACCTATTCTTAGCTCAAGGTAAGAATATAGCTTAGAAGATATAGATGTAAGAATATATGCTACCATTTCTGTAGTGTATCTGTACAAATGTTTAGTGCTGGGACTGAAGAATGTTTCTGTTTAAACATGCTTAGGGGTTCACCCAGAGGGAGCAATCCTGTGACCCCTAAGAAGCACCCAAGGGACCAGAGGATGACTTGGATTCCCCGGTCCGAGGGGACAGACAGCACCCTGACCTCAGAGGGGGAGTCCAAGATCCAGCCCCCTTCCCCCTCCCAGTTGGAACAATTGGCCTCCAAGGGCAGGAACTTGACTTGGGGGTGGGGGTGGGGGCACCCCAGTGGGGAGAGCCTGGAGAGACCAGAATATGAGCTACTATAAGCTTCAGCTGGCTGCCTCTCTCCCTCTCCAAAGCAGCTTTGCCAGACAGCCAAAAACACTCACCTTGTGAGAAGTGCAAGATAGGGGAAGAGGGAGCGAAGATCTTCTCCATGACTCCTTTCACCCTGATGAGTATAAAGCCTGAGTTTGAGGGCACAGAGTCGTGGAGAGCAGAACCCAGGGGGCTATGCCTTACCTCTGTTCACTAGAAGAAACCTGTTGAGATTCCCTGCCACAGCGGACTGGGAGTACCCTTTGGAATTTGTCCTGGCATTACGTGCATGCGTGCTTGCATGCATCTATGTGCCAAGCATGAAAAAGCCACCCTTTGAGCATCTGTTGGGGGTGTACCCTCAAAAGAGCGCTTGCAGTTTATTCAGACATACAGGAAATCTATGCGGCATGTAGGCAGCCCCCGGAGGGACGACCTAGGTGGGCTTCCGTAACAGTTACGTGCACATTTTGGAGCGGGGGTGCGGATGAGGTGGGGGATCACGTGCACAGAATGCTGGAGGCACATTAGTGCAAAACATTAGGGGACGAACACAGTGTAAAAGAGAAGAACCTTTGGGAAAAGTGCATATTAGCGTGTCCAAGGATTGCTGCAAAGGAAGATCTTTTGGGACAGAGATAGTGGCATTTCTGCTGTGTATTTGGGAAGCGAGACCTGTAACCATCTTATGCCTAAAGTTGTTCTTACAGTGCCGGGCTTTTAGCAGCCACATTATGACAGAGCTTTTGCTCATTTTGTCCTGACGTATGCATGACTGCACATGCACACAGCGTTTTGTGTTCCCTTCTTTTCTTCCTGTCCCTTTCCCTGCAACCTTCCAGACTTCCACTACATCAGGCAACCAGGCTTGAAGGAAGCTGCAGACACAGTCGGGCGATAAAGGGCCTCGCTTTAAGCAGACCACGTGGCTCACCAAGCCATCTCTTGCGCTCTGCAAGATGTTCTCCCCCCACTGCCTCCGATGTCGCAAAGGCGGCAAAGAGGGCCAAGAGCTTACATGAAGGGCTGCATTCCATTCAGTGGGCCAGAACTTGCACAAACCTGACTCTAAGGGACTCTGCTTACTGGAAATGGGATGGGAATGTTCCTTCGACTATTTTCGCAAGGAATTCTGTCTGGAGTAGCATAGAATTAAGGTCAGTGCTCAGTATAGCAATTGCAGAGGTGAACGATTAGGAAACAGCCACAGAAATCCCTTTTGATTTCAGCACCTCCACTGCGGTCCCTAAAGGTCCATCATCCTTGCTCTGCGGACTCTGGCCAAGATCCGCTGGACCTCTCCCTGCTCATTATTCCTAAAGTACACCTCCAAAACATATATCCTGCATTGTTTACAGGCCTCTCAAAAGAGCTACACTGGGGCACTTTGGAAGATGTTCTCCTGTTAACTTCAGTTTTATTTTGCAACCCATTCCTAACACATAGTTTCTGCCCCACAGCACCATCAGGTGGGGTCTTAAGACTGGGAAAGGCATGGGCTCATCTGTATCACATGCTTGTTTATCAAGGTTCAACTGCCACTTCTTGCTTTGACCGAAAAGACCAGTCTTGGGCTGCTTTGAGAAAGGCATGCCAAAGTCATCCCCTGGCTAATGCAGCCTTGCGAAATGAAACCACAAACAGGGCAAAGGATGATGAGTGGACCCCTTCTGGGCCGATGGACAGAAACAGTCCAACTGCAGAACCATCAGCAGAACAGTAGTAAGAAAAAGCCTGCTGCAGACTGCATTTTTTGCTAATTAAACATGTAATAATCTCGAACCCATTAAGCATTTTCCTCAAAGCAATGATTCCATTGCATTGTCATACTGAGTAGCTTTAATGTTTTTGTATGTAAACCACTTAAAAGTCAGAATGAGCAGGTTGCCAGAGCTCAGGCCCTATACATGTCTACACAGAAGTAGGCCCAGTGAACTAAATGGGGCATGCTTCCAAATAAGCCAGTATAGAAGTCTGTCTGTTCCCCTACGCATGCTTTCCTGGGACTAAGTCCCATTGCAATCAGCAGGACAGACTTCCAAATACAGACAAGTAAAGCAATCTTGTGCACCCATTAAAATTACTGGCATTTCCAAATGAAGCCAAACCCTAAATTCCATGCAAGAGGGTAGCTTTTGGAATGCTGAAGGTAGAAGTTCATATCCACCCCACAACAGATGTGCAACCTAAGGGTTAATTTGCTTTTGACATTTTAAAAGCAGTTACCATATGCAACAACATGAGTCAGTAAGAATTTCCCTCTAAGTCCCTCAAAGGCTGTCACAAAGAGGAAGGTCAAGATCTCTTCTCGCTGATGCCAGAGTCTATGACACAGAATAATCCATTCGAGCTGCGACAACCCAGATTCAGGCTGGACATCAGGAAAAGCTTCCTCACGGTCAGAGCAATATGAGAGTGGAACCAGCTGCCTAGAAAGGTGGTGGGCTCTCCCACACTGGAGACATTCAGGAAGAAACTGGGCAGCCCTCTGAGTGGGATGGTGTAACCTGATGTCCTACAACAGCAAGGGGTTGGACCTGATGGCCTTCATGGCCCCTTCCAACTCTACTATTCTAGGATTCTATGATACAGCGCTAAATAATAGCACAGGCGTCTTGGGTGCAAACAGGGGTCGAGCAGCCATATCATCTAGAAGCCAGATGGAGCCAAACAAGTTTCCTTTTAGTTTGGGTTCCTTGTGCACAGAAAGACCAGCATGTTCTCTGTGCTGTGCAGTAGTACCTGTTTCATTCTGTAAGAAACCTAGCCTGTTTTGCTCCACTGTTTCACACTCCTGGCTGCTTAGCCAGTGGATTTTGCCTGTAAAAGGGTATTGAGAGAAGTTTTGATACCATTGTGTAAAGTTGGTCGCACCCTTTTCTGGTTTCGCCCTTCTGTTAACAGTGTGGTTTTGTAAAGCAGGTATAGACTGTCCTTGTGGAACTGCAGCTTCAAAACCATGCCCAGCCTAAACAATTACAGGATAACTCTGAGCAGAATTGTCCTACTTCAACCAACCTCATAAGGAATCCCGTCATAAAAAAATAAAACCACACCCAGGGTCCTTTAAAGAAGGAATACACAAGTTGCCAATATTTAAATTTTTTAAAAAAGAGGTCACCATTTATTTTTCCATTATAAGTTTGTAGAAAAACTTGTTAGATTAAAAAAAGTTAGACTTTTTATACGTATATACAAACACAAACATCTGGAAAATAAATAGGGGAGGTGCAAGGATTAGAAAACCTTTTATATACATATCAAACTTCATGACACTTCAGGATCCTTTGTATAAATACATGGCACACACAATTATCAAATGCTTCAGTTCTGCAGGACTAAAACAAACTACATGGAGAATTATCTTGACTTTGGTTGGGACACAACTCTATATATGTGACACTTGGCCCGTATATGTCACACCTGCAATCATCAACGGCCCAAGAAGGCTTGTTTCTAAACTGGCACTGCTTCCTTCTCCATGTTGTGCAGAATTAACCCACAATAGCTTTGCTTTGTGCGTGATCAAGGTAAAATTCTACCTTTGACTGGGCACTTCTGTAGCATATCCATAGTGCTATGCTTTCCAAACTTTTTATAGCCACACCGCTGTTGTTTTTCTGAATTACAACTGTGGGCATGCTGCACACACATCTGAAGTGATTTCTCATTAGTAAGTGTGCAAACACAAGCAGGAATCATCTCCCCATTGCAGAGCGTACCCTGAGCTGTTCCTGTTTTGAGTGTACCGCCTCTTGACTGAAGAAATCTGCCGCGTGAACTAGCAACCTACAGTCCCTTCAAGTTAGTGGGGAATGAGCCCCAAGGCTACCTGCAGAGGGGGGTGCAAGCACAGAAGATCACAGCGATGTAACACCCCAGCTTCTGCTGAGGGGGTCCTTTGGGCACGCCAAAGGCTTCAATTATCATCTAGCTTCTGAGAGCACGTTAGCAGACTTCTCTTGGCCCTATGGAGCCTTGTGGGCAAGATGGAGTTAAGAGCAGAATTTCAAAAAGATAAAATGGCTGGGAATGATGGAAGTTACAGTCCAAGATACCTGGTGAACACCAGGCCGGTTCATACCATTTGATTGATCTGAATGTGAGGATTGGCCTGTAGTAAGGCATGCACATAGATTTTTATTTTTTTTATTTTATTTTTTGCAGAATTGTGCAATGTATTTGTGCTTTATGGACAAGTGCTAGGTAAAGGCAGAGATGTGGCTTCGCATGAAGCAAATATGTTCAGGCACAGAAGGTAGGCTCTCAAAAGGAGGGCCAAGTTAGTAACAGACTGGTTTTTTGTTTGTGTGTAAAAATAATTGTGCTACTCTAAAAAGGTTGACACTGAAGCCATAAATATGTGAAGTTCTCAGAAATGCTGTTCGCATTGTCACAGTTCTTAGAGACCAAGACATCTGTCCTTCAACAGCAAGCTGTTGTAAGTGCTAGCAAGAAAGAAAGAACAATAATAAAATAGAATAATAAAACGTCTTCAGCAACGTCTTTTGCCTGAGCAGTTTTTCTTCTGCAGTTGATTTGGCTGGTTCAGTCCCCAACAGATGCAAAAAGTCAACCATGAAAGGCATTTTCAGTGCAAGCTCAATATTGATCTAAAGGGAGAAGACAGAGAAGAACTTTAAATGACACGAATGCACTTGTACATGGTCCAACAATATTACCATAAGAGGAGCTGTACTGAATGAGGCTGAAGGCCTATCTAGTCCTCTTTCTGTTTTGCACAGTGAGCACCTGAATGTCCCAGGGAAGCTCACAGCCAGGTCAGGAGTGCAACAGCACCCTGCCACCCATGTTCCCCAGCACCTGGTGCACAAAGGCACACTGCCTCTGATACCGGAGGGAATATAGAGCCATAAGGACTGGTCGCCATGGGTGGCCTCCCCCTCCACTGATGTGTCCCAATTCCCTTTGTTAAGTCATCCAGGTTGGTGGCCATCGCAACACCTCAAGATGATACTACAAAGCCACAGAGCGGCGGTGGTGGTGGTGGTGGTGGCCCTCCAGGATTTCATGGGTCAGGTTTGTCAACTGGTGCATTATATGAACTCTCTTTTGACAGAGTTGTTCAAGTTCGGCAAACCGCTAATGGAGGATTCTGTCCACCACACAATGCCAAATCCTCTTTACGGCAAAAGTGTCAACCATTCAGTGAAACTCTGTATATGCTTGGTGGCCATTACAGTAAATTCTGAAAGCTGATATGAAAAACCATTTGTCACGTTACAGTGAAATTTATTTATTTATTATTTATTTATTAAAACATTCTTATGCCGACCCATTCGCCGAAGCCTCGGGGCGGCTTACAACAATAAATTAAAATAATTATAATCTTAAATTAAAAATATAAACATAAGATTAAAATACAAAAATACAATATAAAATAAGCCGCCCTGGCCAGATAAAATCCAATAATATTAACATTTAAAATGCCGCGTAAATAACAAGGTCTTGGCCTGGCACCGAAAAACAAATAACGACGGCGCCAGGCGGACCTCTCTGGAGAGTGCATTCCATAGACTGGGCGCCACCGCAGAGAAAGCCCTCCTCAAGGTACTTTGCCTCCTAATATCTTTCGCGGAGGGTTCCCGGAGGAGGGCCTCTGCTGCCGATCTCAGGGGGCGGCTGGGCATATATGGAAGTAAGGGCATATATGGAAATTCAGAGACGAGCGGCACTATCTCCCAGCCGCAGGAGTGGGCAGAAGGCAGGTGGAGACGTGCTGCCAGATCTCTGAATAATCTGCAAGAGATCAGCAAGTGCACCTGACTGCTCAGCAATTACAACAATTGCAGCCATTCTCATTGCTAAATTAGACTGCTGAAAAAGAATGCTTGTGGGGGAATTAGGAGTGATTTTTTTCCTAGAAAGGACTTGGGAGTTTGGTTTCAGTACTGATTACAAATTTCCGCATGGCCACATGCTCAGAGTCACCCTGTTTCTTAATTCTTAGCATGCCTGCCCACGTGAGCTACAGTTGCACCTGGCTTTGATAAGACAACTTCAGGATTCTAGTAAAAAATATAGAGGTAGATCTTTCAAGCAAGTTTTATTACCTCTGCAGTGCACAACAAATCTGAGAACGGCGTGATGCTGTATTACCAAAAATGAGCTGCATTATTCAAGGTGCTGGTTATCACCTACAAAGCCCTGAACGGCTTAGGCCCTGGTTACCTAAAGGAGTGCCTGCGTCCATATATGCCCCCCCACCGCCCCCTGAGATCGGCGGCAGAGGCCCTTCTCCGGGAGCCCTCCATGAAGGATATTCGGAGGGCGAGTACCCGGAGGAGGGCCTTCTCTGCGGTGGCGCCCCACCTATGGAATGCGCTCCCCAGAGAGGTCCGCCTGGCACCGTCCTTATTTGTTTTTTGGCGCCAGGCCAAGACCTTTTTATTTAAACACTATTTTAACTGTTAATGGTTTATTTGTTGGTTTAAATTGACCAGGCTGGATCCACTATTTTATTTTATTTTTTGTATTTTATTTATTTGATGAATTTTTTGTATTTTATATGGGATTTTAATGATTGTAAGCCGCCCCGAGGCTCATGCGATGGGGTGGCATATAAGTTGTTTAAATAGATAGATAGATAGATAGATAGATAGATAGATAGATAGATAATATTACTTTTTTATTTTTAAGGAAAGAAGATTCATTGCCAGGCCGTGTGAGGAGGGGATGGTGTTCAGTGGTAGAAGGCCCTATTCTCTGCCATGGCATCTCACCGAGAGCCGCAATGGGCTATTTGTGGCCTAAAACTTCCACCCTCTTAACCAGTGGCTTTGCTGGCCAGGGCTGATGGGAGCTATAGGCCAAAACATCTGGCGGACCAGAGGTTGTCCTGGAGGAGCAAGGAAGCAGGAGGTGGCTGGGGCTTCCTCCATGGCCACTCCGTAGCTCACATAACCGCTTCTGCCCACTTGGCCCCTCTAACTCAAGACACAAGCAGGAGCTCTCAAGAAGCCAGGGGTGGCTGACATGGTATACCAAGCAGAGTTCTGGAGCCAAGCATCTGAAATGGGAGGAAGCAGAATGCAGAAGGTCCCAGGTCAATCTCTGGCTTCTCCGGAAGGACTTGGAAAAAATCCAAGGCTGGAAGACCTAAGGGTCTGCATGGATCAGCACAGAAAATCTGGCTATGTTCCTGGGACCTCAGCTGGGGTGTGACCAACCACAAAGGAGGTGACAGCGACACCAAAAATTCCTTCCCCCCTCCGCCCCACAAAGAAGATTTTTAAAAAAACAGATCATTGCACTTCCTACCTGCCTGCTTTGACTACCAAGATCAAACTTCATTCCTTACAAAAGACTTCTTAAGAACTTGAGATCTTTCACGTTTCCTTGAACTTTAGCGCTAAGAACAACAAATCCTTGCAAAATCCTTTCCGGTTACATCAGAGCCTGTGGAATCCAATCTGAGCCTTACATTGTTTGGTTCTTCTTCTGCCAGTCATTTCGACATTTAATGAACCAGAGCTCTTGGCCAGGAGTGATGGTGGTCATCTGGAGGTCTTCTGCACAAAAGGTGTACCTGGAACAGAAGGCAAAAGAAATGCAGCCATCCTAAGCGGAGAGCAATGGACACTGTAGAGAGACCTCTAAAGGGAAAGTCCAATAGCAAATCCAACTTCTGAGCGTTTGTGCTGGTAGGCACATGCAGAATTGTTGGGTGGTGCTGGCACTCTTGGAAGATGGCTGCCACCGGAGGAGCTTCTCTGTCCATAAGATGCTTGCCAGCATGGGCATGGCTTATCACGAAGCCCTCACTTCCCAGCAGGTGAACTGGGGAGACTAGACAAAGCAGTCTGACGTACGAAGCCAGTACTTGGAACCACAACACACAGTGCAGGAAAATTGCTCTTTGACCTGGGGGATGCCAACCGTTTTTTTAAATCTTAAAAATAAAAATTAGGAGGGTCAGGAAGACTTCTGGATAAAAGAGCGGACTCTGTGAGCACAAAGGTTTCCATGGGTACCATGCTGAAGACCCAGGACTACAAGGACTTGGGCTGATGGGGCCACCTCAGACATCTTGGCCTTGATAGGAAAATTAGCCCCCTGTACATATATTGGATTCTGTAGCCTAGAGGTCCGAACCTTTCTGGACCCATGGGCACATTTGGGAATATGGGCATCACTCCAAAATGGCTCCCAGGGACGATGCGGGGAGCGTCCCAGGAAGGATGTGGCTGGTCATGCAAGATCTCCCATGGGGCCCAGCTAGACCAGAAGCACGTGGAGGGGAGCAGGGAGGGAACAGTAAGGCTAGAGGGAGGGAGGGAGGGAGGGAGGGAGGGAAGGAGGCGCTTTCTGACCCATCCAGTCTTCTGTCCACACCAACTTTCCTCCATTGCTCTCTGTCTCCCCAGCCGTGCTCTTTCCCTCTCTCACCCACCCATTTATGTTGTGGTTGCTCTCCAGTCGCAACCCCCGGTCTCCCCTTTCTCTCTCGCCTACATCTTTGCCTTGCTTTCTCTTTCTGCACTCTGGACGGTTGCTCAGTGGCCATTTCAGGTACGAGATGAAACATCTGGCATCCTGATGCTTCTCAATTTTCCACTGAAAACTTCTTAGACGGGGCAGGGAGTGAAGAGCTTGGTGGACACCACAGGGGAGACCCTTGCAGTAGGCCAGCAAGGGATGGCCATTCCTTTGGGTCTGCCTTAAGAGCCTCCAGAGGCATCCAGGTCAGTGATAGACCTTCAGAGGCTGCAGGATCCCAAGCAGCACAGCTCCACTCAACATGGGCCCATATGCATGGATGATGGACTCTGTAGCGGGGCCACCCATTCCCCACCTGGGCATTTTGAGAAGAGAACACTGGAGCTGGGTCCAATTTAGCCAGGCGGCACTGCATATACTGCCCAGGGAACTTCAGCCATTGTGCAGTATAAAGGCACAATGCATACATAAATGCCCCTCTGCCCTCCAGACCCCCAACTACATTTCCCGGGACCAATGAGCATTCTGGCTAAGAATTATGGGAGTTAAACGCCAACACTTCCAGAGGGCAACCAGTTGGAAAGGCTGGTCTGTCTGGAAAGCCGACCAAGATGTACATCCCCCGTTTTATTACGTGTAAAAGCCATGCATACTTGATATTAAAGGCTTGCCATCTCCTGATTTTGTTGGTCAGGTTCAGAGGGACCCAAAAGAACCCTGCCAGGATGAAAATTCCACCAGACACGCATTCCTGCTGCATGCCTTCCCCAGCCCCAGGTACAGTCAATGTTTATTTCAAACAAGACCTTTTGCTAGCCGTTCTTTTGGTGCACCGATGCAGCACTACGTCCCCAAGTTAATATGTAAAAATGCTGGTCAGCAGAAAGCTTTGCCCGAGATTCTTGCATCCTAATTAATATTCACAGAGGTGGTCACTTCCTGCAGGCTAATGTGTACATTTTAATGTGTAACTTGAAAGATAACTTGCCTAAAGCAGCGACTGGTGGGGAGAAAGTGGCAGAGCTGTGCATTGGTTTCCTCCCAAATGCAGTCATTCAGATTAAAGCCAAGCGAGCTACTTGAAACATCTCTCTTTCTCTCTCTCTTACTCACTCATGTTTATGTATGTTCCATAAAAAGGGAATTAGGCCAGGGCTGCAGTTCAGCCAACCTGAGGCCCCTGAACCATGATAACCTGCTTTCTCAATACAGACCGAGAGGGAGACCGAGCTATGCCTCCCTTCGAAATATCCGACTGCACTTACTTCCGCTGAGTTTCACCAGACTTCACCCGGATCCGACGGATTTGCAGCTCTTTGGAGGACTCATCCGGCTGAGACCAGTAACTTTTCAGCCCGCTCCATAAGTTGTACCAGGACTGCGTGGGCCCATCCCAAGTGAGCTTGATCTTCAGAATATCGCCAACATCTTTTTCAGTAGAGACCAGGAAGCTGTTGGTGTGGTTCAGGCCGATCTCCTCGAACCTGAAAGCAAGGCAGAAGAGTTTTGTTAAAGAAAGACAGGCAGAGGACTCCTCCTTGTTCCAACAATGCCACTCCCTCCCCCAAACCGGGTCCTGGTTTATCTAGTCTGGCAGTTTCCCTGAGCTGTGTTTGGGGAATCAGCTTATTGCCCCTTCAGTGGGCAATGAGCAAGGGGGAGAAGCTCATGCCAAAGATGGTCTGTCCCTCATTCCCATCAGCTATGCTAATAGCCAGGAGAATTCTTGGAGTGCTGGTCCTTTGGTGGCCGAAGTGGAACATGGATGCACTAGAAGGACGGGTGATGTCCTCAAGCTTGGGGAAAAGCCCAGGTTTGTAGAATTCAGAGAAAGGCTTAAAAGGGAGTGGGAAGAGAAAGATGTCAAAATAGCCAAATGGAATCACAGGGCTGGAGGGGACCTCAGAGATCATCCAGCCCCACCTGCTGCTTGATGGAGGCTCTGCACTGCAGGGGGCAGCTGCCGCATTCCTGTGAAATGGTCATCCAGCCGCTGCTTAAATACCTCCAGTGTAAAGGTCTGACCAACGCACATTAAAGTGCTACGTGTCTGTTGTGGTACAGGAAGGGGAATGGAACGGGGAATCCTGAAACAAGGCATGGCTAGCCGGCTCCCTGCTGTTGGTCTCCCTCCACTATGAAGGCAGAAGGGTGGGAGGTGTTCCCCCTTCATATGGAGCAACTCCATCCAGCATCAACCCATTCCATGTTCTCCAGCAACCCTCTGGATCTTCTGAAATGCTCACATTAAGCAGCAAACATGCAGCGGTTCCTCAAGACTAAGCTGACGTGGAGAATGTTCCTCAGTACAGGAAACGTGGAACACCACCAGCCTAAGACTGTTTGCCGTCTTTGTGCAATTTCCACTCAATGTGATCATCACTACAGCCTGGCCTTCAAATGCAACAGGCTGATGGTAGCAATGGGCTGAAATTTCGAACTACAGGTGGGGGAGAGGAAAGCCCAATTCTTCAAATGCTCTCCTGTGTTCAGTAAAAAGAATATTCCCTGAAGGAGGAAAACTGGGTCTGCAGGAGGAAGGCTACTCCTTCAGATTGCTCTTGGTTTTCTCCTCGTAGTCTGTGTTTCTTCTTGCAGGGACCCCACCTTTGTGAGCCACCTGCCCCATCCAGGTGCAACTGCTCAGGTGAGGTGAACCTGTCCCATGCTCTTGATCGAACAGCCTGCTCAGCCTCAGGCTACAGACGTGGGCACCATGTGCATGTATGTGTACACACACACTCACTGCAGCATTTGTTGCAATGCAGGTACTTTGTTGGCTCAGTCGTCGGCTTAATCTTAAAACGACCGAGCATCTCAGCCAACTCCAACCTGGTGTGCTCCAGATGTGTTGCTCCCTGCTCATCTGGAGGGCAACAGGTCGGAGAAGGCAGGAGTATCTTTTTCAAACCATTCTCCTGTTTGAAATACACCATTCCAAACGGATTCACTCCAAAACAGGTGTGAAAGTCCAAAGCAAGAGAAAACACCCATTTTAAGGCTGTTGGAGAGGAGGAGGGTGATGTGTAAAATTCCTCACTTACACTTCCAGCGGGAGAGGCTGGGAATCCCCGTTGGTGCCATGCAGCATGACAGAGAAAGTTGGTTTCTTTTCTCCCACGCTTTTGTAGCAAAAAACATGTATTTTCACTTGGTAGTGGAAAACTGTGGAAACATAAGTGAAAACACTGAGCAGGGAGCCATCATCTGGGCAACAAATCCTTTGTTCCATAAACAGAGACAGTTTGCAAGGCAAGAGCCAACTGGCACGAGATTCCTTCTCCTTGCCAAGCAGCTTGCTGCATTCTGTGCACATGAGCCCGGATCAGAAGCAGGTAGCCGCAGATGGAGACCCAGTGGGCCCACGAAACAGCTGCTTTGCACAGACCTTGCCTGCCCCACCTCTCTGCCCCCCTGCAAAGACCAGCCCTGTCACACCAACAGGTTAACTTGCACGCACGCACCCCAGGCTGCCCTGTGAAGGGGCAAGGTGGGCACTTCCTCACGAGGAGGGGTTGGTCTCCTGCTTACATTCTGAGCCACGGCAGCTCTTTGTAGGAATAGATCCAGTGGTCCAGATAATGGGACGTTCAGATAACACATGAAAACTATTTTCTCTTTAAAGAAGGGTGTGTTTTCCTATACCCAGGATTTGAGAATGCTGCCATCACTGCCTCCTCCGTCCCTAAAGCTGGACCCAATAGAGTAGACAGCTTCATGGATGATGCAGCTGTGATCAGAGTCAAAGGACAGAGTCCTGCTGGCGTCAAGACCAACATCTGTTTGGCTGTTGCTAGAAGATGACCAGACCAGGTCAACCCTTGGCTTCTCCTCTTGTCCCAGGACACGATCCAGTAGTGGAAGAAAGTGCTGGTGTGCGCTCATTCTCAGACTGGTGTGGGTTTGGGATCCGACTCCTGGATTTCCTTTTCAGAAGGCAAGTTGATGCCAGTGAGGCATTCCTTGCAATTTGGGGTCATGAGCTTGGTGGACGTCCAAAAGTACGAGTCACAGTTGCCAGCGGGACTGTGTCAAAGAGAACTCGATGCCCAATTTATCTTTCTCTTGCATGACCAGAACCTCTCCTACTATCTAGACCAGCTTTCCCCAACCTGGCACCACCCAGACGCACGGGATGATAAGTCCCAATGGGCCACACTGCTGGGACGGACGAGATCTGTAGCCCAACAGAACTGGGCAGTGGCAGGTCAAAGGCAACAGCTCTGGACCTTTGAGCCTGGCATTCATTAGGTCAAGTTTAGTAATCAGGCCCTACAAACAAACAGAGGGGTTGAAAACTAGATTTGGCGGAACCCCCCACCACTCTCTGTTAAAACTAGAATAAGCTATGCTGCAACATTCAGCCAGAAAGCACTTCCTGAGCCTCCCACTTGTAAAGCAACCCAGTTCACATATGCAGGCAATGCATTTGTTTAAAACATGGCGGCTTGTTGCGCATCAACGGAAGATGGAAAGCACACTCCAAGCAGCATGTCTGCCATTTCGGCTTTTGGCTTAGAGACCCACAACCAGCTCCTTTGTCACTTGCTGAAGGTGACCTCCAGACCTGTGCCATTCAGCTTTTTAGGCTCAAGTAACCCAGAGGAGAACTCAACAGGTTACCACCAAACAGCCCAGCATTCCCCATTCAAACCTTGCCCACAGCAATCTACAAAGGAGCCAGTTGTGCATGCAGAGTAAAAATGGATTGTGCAGGCATATCGCCTGCCTGCCCGCCTGCCAGTCTTTCTCCCAATTGCACATGACAGTCCACTGTTTTTCAAACTGATTGGTCGGCATTATATGCAAAGAGCTTCAGGGAATGCCTGAGGCTAAGAACCATAAAAATATGGCAAGTAGACACAGGGCTGTCTTGACGCATGGGCCTGATGGGCACTTGCCCGTGGGCCCCATACTAATCTGTGCATGTTAACCCTCGGAAAATTGGAAAACTTCCAAAATTAACCGTAGTTGTACTTGTCATAGGGGCCCCAGTACCCTGCTTTGCCCGGGGCCAGTAATGCTGTTAAGATGGCCCTGAGCAGACACCCGTTCAAGGGATGGCAGGCCAGGCCATTGACAGAGCATCTTCTCTACATGCCTAACATCTCCCTGCTTCAGTTTCAGAACTAAGTGTCTCTAGTGAAGAGTGGCGCAGCCGGGAAAATGGGCGAAGGGCAGCAGTGGGAAGTGCTCTCTCCCCCGTCCTCTGCCATCTAGCAATGGTGAAGATGACCTCCGTTCCTTCCTGTTTCGGATGGCACTGGCCCTCTCGCAAACAAGGGGCTGTATGGTGTACGTCAGCCAGTATCGCCCCAGAGAAGATCCCCTGGTTGCTGTGGTGCAGGTTTCCCCAACTCATGGACTAGGTTGGGCTGCAACACAATGCACAACAAGCACCGTGTTTTATCTCGTTGGCTGAACTGACCAGGAGGGAAAAGAACCGCAGAGCAGCAGGCTCAGGCGCCACCAGTACGAGGAGGATGGGGCAAAGCTTTCTTCTCACTTGCTGGCGAGGAAAGCACTAGAAGCGGAAACAGCTGAGCCACGGGGCAGGTGGGCAGGAGGCACGTGAGCAAGCAAAGGATGCCCCTAGAGAGGGGAGAGCAAGCCACGTTTTGCACGTGAGCCGGTTCGGGGAATGGAGAGCTCAGTCGGATATCCATCTCTCGCCCCTCTGTGTCCTGCTGTGGAATCCACTACACCAGGAACAGAGAGAGAGCAGGTTGAGGCGTCGACCTGCAGCATCCCCGACCATCAGCCATGCTGGTGCGTCTTCGGGGGACTGACTGTGAGGTTGTGATGCAGAAGGCTAGACAAACTTTAGCGGTAGGGGGTATGGGAGGGAAGTAGGCCCCAGGGAAAGGCTTCTTGAGAAACCAGAGAAGCCGTTTTCTACGGACAGCTGTGGAGGCAGTGCTGTTGCAAAAGAGGAGGCAGCATTCAGAGTCGCGGGGATGAACAAAAAGGCCAATCTGGCGAGCACAAGGAAAATGAGGCATGACGTGTGGGAGTCGGCGCATCCATTGGTCTCCCAACCAGGATTTACTTCTACAAATCAAACACACAAAGCATTGCTGTGGCATGGAAACTCTGCATTCAGAATCTGTTTTCCATTCTCTCCCCACAGTTGGCATTCTACGGCAGCCGGCATCAGGGGGTTGTTGGAAGGACGGGGCTCCCAGCTCAAGGGTTCTGTTTTCCTTGAAGATTTCCCTATTTCTACCAACGCTGAGGTTCCCCTGATGCAATTAGAGGGATACTTTGATGTACAAGAAAAGCGGGGGAGGATACACCTCTGTTCAGAGGAACGGTTGGAAGGATTGCCTCCTGGCTTCCCATCTGCTCAAAACTGTCCTCCTCTTAGTGTGGTTTATCTTCTCTGCAAGCTTTCCTCCGCTTCTAGCTGAAGTTTGGGGCAGTTGTCTCCTTATTCTGAAGGAGACACATGCCAGACCGATGCCAACTGAAGCTCTAGCTCACCCTTTGATGAATGCCGTGAGAGCCAGTGTGGTGTAGCGGTTAAGAGCACAGGACTGGGACTCAGGCGATCCGGGTTCGAGTCCCCACTCAGCCATGGAGCCAACTGGGTGACTTTGGGCCAGTCACAGACTCTCAGCCCAGCCTACCTCACAGGGTTGTTGTTGTGGGGATAAGATGGAGGAGGAGAATGATGCAAGCTGCCTTGAGCCCTTTGTAGGAAAAAGGCAGGATATAAATCGACAAATAAATAAAATAAATGATGACTTCAGTCTCTTGGTGGGAGCAAGATGAACGGCTGCTGTCCAAGGGCGGCACCCAGTCGCACTGAGCCGCTGGTCCCTCAGCTTCAGGGCAGAATTCACCCCTAAGAATGGCTACTCCAGGGGTTCCTGACCAGGGGCCTCCAGATGGTGCTGGACTCCAACTCCCATCCACCTATGGCCAAGGTGGATGGGAGTACCAGCCCCTCACTGCGAACACAAGAGCGGCATCTGTCTGCGCCATGCCACGCAACATGCTAGTGGAAACCAAGTTCTAAGTGCAGAAGCAGAACCTGTCTCAAGCTGCCTTTGTGCAAGAGCGAGTGTGCAAGCGGCCATGGATTCCCTCGCACAACCCTTTGTGCAGCCAGCTGCGCAAGCCTCATGGGCACACGCTTGTGTAATGGAAAGGCCAGCACAATCTGAATTGGCAGAAGGGCACTGCTGAATGGCGTCCCAAGGTTTTAAAGAAAAAGAGTTGCTTATCTGCCACAGTCACACCACTGATTATTGGCAGAAATTATCTGAAGAGGTTCGCCCTTGGCCTGTTCCCTCAAAAGGAACTGCAACTTGAGTTCTTCTCAAACATGGGTCCCCCCGTTGTTGGACTCCGACTCCCATAATCCCAGACTGTGGCCAGGATGGTGGGTGTTGGAATCCAGTACCATCTGGGGGCCCAACGGATGTTGGAAGCGTTATTTTCCACAATACACACACGCACACACGTGTATTCCCAGAGACAGGTGGGAGAAGGAACCTGCCTACCTTTGAAAGGCATGCCAGCCCGCGTCTTCAAGTACATCCTGTTGCTCGCCCTGCCCCTCATTTTCCTGGCGTTGTAGCCTATGCCACTGCAGCGGTTCTTACGGCAGCTCAAGCAGATGCCCTTCCGGAACCGTTCGGAATCCGAGCACTTGAAGGCAAAGCTCTGCTTCTCCTTGTTCACAAGCGAGTCCACAAACAGGTACACTGACCGCTCGTGCTCACACCTCACCGCCTCCCCGAAATCTAAAAGGAAGGGGAGGGGACGGGGTGTCAGGTAAGCATGGCAGGGCAGGAACCAGATTCTTGGCATGCTGCTCCTTGGTAGTCGTGGGGAAAGAAAAACATGCAACGAGACCGCCCGGTCCACTGTGATTCGGAACGAGACACACTGGGCCTTGGACCAGGCAGGCGTACAGCCAGAAATTTTGCAGTGTGACCCAGCAGCTTTGAAACAAATCCAGGCTGCACTAAAACACAGGTGGTTTAATATGCTGAAGCCACTGAAATATTTAAGGTGACACTTTGAATAGGATCAGGGGTGTTTGCCAAGGGCTTCTCTATCATCCTAATGCCTTTGTACTACTCACTGGCGGGGAAGGGTTGGAGCCACATTAAAGAACTGAAAGAGCAAGTGTGTTGAACAGCCTTCTCCAGGATTGTTGGACTGCAGTCCCCATCATTCCCAGGCAACCTGACCAATGGGAGTTATAGCCCTGCACACTGAAGGGCACCAAATTTGGGAAAGACTAGAAAAGAATATTGCCAGAATTATTTTCCTTCCTGTTTCCATAAATGAAATGTATGAGAAGGTGTTTTTAAAAATTAAGAAAACATTTGACCTACAAGCAGCACTTTCCATTATTCCAAGTGCTTCACAAGGTTTCTGCAGATGAGAAGTAATCCATCTGCCACCCTGCAGGCGTTTTTGACTATAATGCCCTTCACTGCTGACTACTGGCTGCAGTTTTTGGGAGCTTTAATCCATCCTACCTGGAAGGCACCCAATCCACCTATTTCTGATCTAGCTGAAATCCTTTAAACAGCCCTGTAATTTAAAGGCACAATCCTATGCATGTTTAGACAGAAAAAAGACCTACAGGATTGCCCCACTGACATCACAATTATTATCCCCATATTGCAGGCGGGAGACTGAGGCTGACTGGTACAGGCAAGATTGGAACCAGGGCCTTCCTGGTTAGAGGGTCAGGTCCTTGCCAAGGTTTTCAACAGTATTATTATTGCTTGTCACTGGCAAGTGCAAGCATTTTACACGGACTTGCCTTGTTATAATCCTTACAAGAACTCTGCGAGCTAAGAATAGTGTAGTTAAACTGGCAGTGGTTAAAGTGATCTCGCCCAGCCTGGTGCCCTCCAGACTTTGGGACCACAACTCCCAGAATTCCAGAGCACCGGCCATGCTTGTGGGACTGGCTAGGTAGTTAAATCAAACCACCTGGTTGGGTAAGGCTGGGCGGGAGTGAGCCATGAAACTCACGGGGTGATCTTGGGTCAGTCAAGCTCTTCGCCTCGCCCTCCTCACAGGGCTCTTAGCAGGAAGAGGCCGGGAAATCCACACCTGTGTACATCACACTTTCCCCAACAGAAGACGGTTGGGATACAAGTCAGGCGAAGATTATTCTCATTCCTATTGCAGATGAAGACAGGACAGCTCTGCCCACGAGAATCTCTGGGGGCCTTGCCCAGCCTGAAGTCCTCCAGAAGGGCTCTCAGCCACGAGGAGCAATTACATTGCTACACTCCGTTGTACCACTGCGTTCTGCCACCTCTCCAGAGAAAAGCGGTTCTTGGTGCTGGAGGGCTTCATTCCAGACCCAGCCACCTCGCAATCCGCTCCAACGCGACGCTGCAGTTGAACTTACTCCCATAGGCCAATGCGCCGATGACCTCAGTCAGGCCACACCCCGGCTGGCTGTCTCCTCCGTTGGGGTAGACGTCGAGGTGGCCCACGGGCATCCGGATCCCGATGCTGAAGCCCAGCGTCTCCCGCGTGTAGGTGTGCAGCACGTCCACGAAGTCCGCGTCATCAGGAGAAAGGCGCCTGCTGGGATCGGCACCCTCAAACATCGGGCCAGCTGGATCCAAGCCTGCAAGAGCAGAGGCCGCCCGTCAGGCCTTCAGCCGAGACGCCACAAGCATCCTTCTCTCTAGCCCAGCCTGCTCAGGGGCCTTCCCATTCACTGCCGCCAGACCCTTTGAACTGGAGCTGCCAGAGGTGAAGCCCAGGGCTACCAGGGAGAATAAGATTATTAAGGGCTACTAAGCCTGACGGCCATCTGCTCCCTCCAATAATAGGGGCAGGGAGACCATATTTCATCAAGAACATCAATGTTGGTTCTATATTGCCCAATAGTGGAAGCTCTCTGGTATAAAAATAAGTACAAAAATAAAACTGGCACACAACAAAAAATCAAACATAATAAAAGACTGGGTGACATTTCTATATGTTGCATTTAAAACAGTTAAAATGCCTAAAACAGTTGCAGCAAGAACCAGACCTGCTGGAACGGCCAAGCAGATCCCATCATATGCCATTAAATGCCAGGTGGAAGAGGGCAATTTGATGCTGGAAAGAAGGCCGTGTTGGCAGGGAGCTTGGGGTGGGTGGGGGTAGTGCTGGAACTCTGGCCATGATTCTGGGCTCCCCATCGGGGCACTCGGTTGTCCACTGTGTGACCAGGAGGGTGGATCAGATGGACCTTGGACTGACCAGCAGGGCTCTGATGTTCTTCAGCACGGAAGAGCAAGACGAAGTACAGGAACGGGCAACAAAATCAAGCAAAGGCGTAGTGCAGCTCCCTGATGGGGAAAGCAATATCCGGGATTGCTCGGCTGAGAAAGGCGGCAAGTGAGATGATACGTACGAGAAGTGTGCGAAATTATGCATGGTGAGGAGAAAGGGATAGTGGGACACTGTCTTCTCTCATAACACTAGAACCCAGTAGGGTCATCCCATGAAGCTGACTGGGAGGAGATTCAGGAGAGGGAAGAGTCCTTCATCCAGGACCTAGAGAAGCTGTGATATGCTCTTCCACAGGATGTAGTGATGGCCACCAGTCTGGAGGACAAAAGCGGACTGGACAAATTCATGGAGGAAAAGTCTAGCAGCTGCCACTAGTCCTGATGGCCATATGCCACCCCCCGTATCAGAGGCAGTTTGCCCACAGGCACCAGTTTGGGGAAAGAGGGGCAGGAAGGTGCCGTGGGTTTCCCCTGGACAGCAGTCTGGCTGCTGTGTGGGCCCAATACTTTGACTGTTGCATGGACCAAATTCTGTGTAGCCAGAATGCTACGCTTTGTCTTCCGCCAGCAGATCTTGACTGAGGTTGTGTGTAGCACTGAACTGCGGCCCATCGCCTCCTTTCTGCTGCTCAGTCACAGAATCGCAGAAGAGTCAAGTGGGAAGGAGCCAAAAAAGCCATCCGATCCATCCCTTGGTCAATGCAGGACTCCAGCTTAAAGCATCTCTAAGGAAGGGAAGATGCTGCCCAGCTGGATGTCAATGCGCCCCACAAAGTCTCTCCCTGCTTGTTTTAACTCGTTTAGGCAAGTCTTGGGAGTCACCATGGACCACTGAGGTGAGGCCCATAAATACACTGGTGAGGAGCATGGGCCCTCTAGTTGTTGTTTGGCTGCAACTCCCATCAGCCACTGGTGCAGGATGATAGAAGCTCCTCACCCTTGCTGTAGACTCCTTTCCTGTCTCTCTCTCAAAGCTAAAGCACAGCTTTCTTCTCCGAGGCAGCATCCTACCTTCCAGGTGTGTCAAACTACAACTCCCTTAATTCCCAGCCAGCAGGGAAGGATGGGAACTGTCATCCGACACAGCTGGAAGGGGCCAGGCTGGAGAAGGCTTGTCTGGACAGAAGCAACAAGCAGCTTCCGCACTTCCCACCTCTGCTACCTGACAGCGAAACGCAGTCTGTCCCAATTCCCTGAAGCACCAAAATGTTAAGCCGCCAGTTTAACTGGGTTCAGATTGAAAAGAGTGTTCCAAGCAGAGAACCGGACCTGTGGTTGTTCCAGAAGGACAGCGCGCCACACTAATAATTGGAAGGGAAGGTGGAAAGCCTTATTGTCCTGGCTTACCTGTAATTCTGCCTACTTTCCCCTGGACGTAGCTGCCAGTGAATCCAGCAACGTGGGCCCCGAGGCTGTAGCCGATCAAGTGGACATTCTGGAGCTGGAAATGCCCTTTCTCCTGCAAGGGCAACAGCGGCAGTCAGGATGTGGGCGAAACGCTACTGTTAGGTAAAGCGGGGACGCAAAGTACAGAGAGGAAGCGGTGAAGAAGATGCTGAATGGTACCAATTTACATAATACTGGGCAGCCCACTAGCAATGACGACAGGGTGATTTTGAGGGCAGTGCAGAACAAACGCTTGACTGATTTGTGCTGTTGTTGATAGTTGTTGCTTGACCACAGCTCCCATCAGCCCCAGACAGCACCGTCAAAGGGCAGGGGTGATGGGAACAATAGTCGAACCACCTCTGGAGAGCCTTGGTTTCCTAGCCTCAAACTACTAGAGGATGTAGAAGAACAATACACAGTAGGCTGTCTACTTAAGCCCCATTCAATTCAATGGGAGTAATCTAAGTAGGACTAGACAAAGGAATCAAATTTCTCAAGGCCCTAAATGCCTGTGCCCCAGAACAGTTGGTCACAGGCCTGAGCAGAGCGGAGGCAACCCTGGATTTAATCCTAAATGGGGCTGCTCTGACCTGGGACAGGAGGTGGGTGTCATCATACCAGTGAAAGCAGATTTAGATATGCAAGCGCAAGATGGTCAAGAAAATGCCACCACTTTTGACCTTAAAATAGAAACTGTTCTGAAATGAAGGAATGTGTAAAAAATGAGGTGGGAAGTGAGCCTCAGAAAGGGTAATTCCCCGCCCCCCCAAGTCCTTGCCAGTTACTCAAAACTATCATAGAAGCTCAGCTAGATGTGTTAGGAAAGTCCAGGAGGTCACTGGGATGGAACATTAGAAAAAAGAGGACCTCCTTCAGAAAATGGAAGCCCTGCCCAAATAAGGGAAACAGTGGGGAGCACAGACTTACACAAAGTGACTGTGCAGTATAACCCTTCCTAGACTGCACCACTTTGCATGGCCATTGGGGGAAATCACCATCTTGGATGCTCCCTCACAGGAAGACCTTGTCTGTACAAAAGCAATCACTTCTGAAAAACGGTTAGAGATGAATGCATTAGTTTATGCGTAGGTAATTCATTTCCTCTTGGTGGGGGAAATTCAGGTGTGCCCTCCCCTACCTGCAGTCTGAAATGTTGCAGTCCAGGAAGGGCTGTACCAAGCAATGCCATAACTAAGCAGTTCAGAAAGTGTGGTTCAGTTGACAAGGTGGTCACAGAGAGGATGGAAAGCAGCAGCTTGGAAGAACAGGGCGGCTGAAAGGTGTGGGAGCTGATTCAGAGACAGTTGCCTGTTCATGGTGGGGAAGATGGAGGGGTGGAAGGAGGAACCGAAGCAGAGGAACCCACGCTAGCCTCTCCTTGGAGGTGAGCGCCATGGAATGAAGCAGCCGATTCCCCAAGGCAGCATGTAATCAGTACTGAATCAATTGCAAGCAGTGAATTAATACTTGAGAAGAAACTTCCAAAGCACTGCAAGGAGATCACACTCCAAGAGGTTCCGGATGAGCGTTCCAGGATACACAGACTCAACTGTGTACCCCAGACAGTGCGGCATAGTGGTTAGAGAACTGGCCTGGGACACGGGAGATCCAGGTTCTAGTACCTACTTGCCCAGGAAGTTCACAGCATGCCTTGGGGCCAGTCATTGACTCTAATCTACCTAAGAGGATAAAACAGAGAGACGGACGTTCCTTGCAGGAAAAAAGTCAAGATATAAATGCGGTAAATAAATAAATTTGCACCATAGGAGTGGTCCAAGCATTAGCAGCACCATCTATGCTGGAGATCAACAGCTTGGCACACGCTTTGCAAATGCGCAAGCACTCAGTCATGCATCTGCAAGACAGCCAGCGTGGCGTAGTGGTTAAGAGCGCGGGACTGGGACTCAGGAGATCCGTGTTCTAGTCCCTGCTCAGCCATGGAGCCAACTGGGTATTTTGAGCCAATCACAGACTCTCAGCCCAACCTACCTCGCAGGTCTGTTGTTGTGGGGACAAGACTGAGAGCAGGAGGAGAAAAAGGATGTGAAGGTCACTTTGAGTTCTTTGGAAAAGGTGAGCTATGCATCCAATACATTTCACAGCTTGGTCCTTCTTGTGCAAATGCCATGCTCGCTGCATAGACTTGGGAGGTCTCGGCTTGCATGTTTTACCTGCAACCAGTTCAGGAGCCGTGCGATCTCCTTCCCGACGACCCTGGTGTTGTTCACTGCATCAGGATAGAGCTGGTGAGCCAGAAAAAGCCAGTCAACCACCACCACGTTGGAATACCTCTCTCGTCCGTGCAGGGCCGACACCATGCTGCCAATCCATTGCTCAGATATGCCACTCATCTGGAGGGGGAAAAAAATCTTCCTTAGGTCTCTTCGGATTCTGGGAAGAGTAGAGGTGAACCTGTAATCAGTTCTTGGGTTGTTTAAACCATGAGCTGCTGGCGTATTGTCTCCACTTTCGCTTCTGCTGTTAACAACTCATTCCTTAGTCGTTACCATGAATCTGAGCCTGGAAACTCATCCACTCATGGCTTTTTTTGTTTTTTACTTTTTTTTTTTTTTTTTTTAGCCACCTAGGAGATTTTGCCCCTCTCCAATGGCCCCTCCTCTGAGGGAAGAAATTGCAAAGGGTGACGAACTTTTTGGGGTTGTCCCCGATTAAGGAGAACTGTCATCTTTTCGACATCACGTTAAGGCCTCCTCTAATTCCATATGATCCATTCTTTAACCCAATGGCCATTCTCTCTGCTGATGCTTAAAATAGTGTTGCATGCAAAATATTTTTTAAAAATTATGTCACTATGTTGTAATCCTAAGGTTTAATCATTGCAAACCACCCAGAGAGTTTTGGCTGCTGGGCGATATACAAATGCAATATTTAATGAAAAGAAAATGAACATATGGAAGTGCCAGAAGCATTTCTACAGACAAATAACTGCCTGGAAGTCCTACAGTGTCATGGCAGCCAAGTAGCCTAATTTCAAAAGGGCTCCGCAAGCGATCTCTACGGACCTCTGGCACATGCTAACGGTTCCTCCCCTGGCAGCCTGCAGGGAGAGAAAGCGGGAGCAGGGGTACGCCTGCCAAAGTTTGGTTCTGATCCCACCCACTGCTCTCTCTGGCCCTGAGCGGCGTTGCCCCGAGATTGCCTGTTACCCGAGGAGGAAAGCAGTCCCTAGCAGCGGACAGGGTCCATGCCCCAGCCTAGTGTTTCAGAACAGCAGTTATTCTGCCCTGCTTTGGTGCAGATACTTTCCATCCTGGGCGAGTCACCCGAAGATTTCAAAAGCAAAGCCGGAGCTGCAGTTTGGGAGGTGCTGCTTTGGCAGAGAGACGCCTGGAGCCGGTGCCCCTGAGCTCCATTTTTCAAATATGGTTTCAATTTCATATTGAAGCATTATGGAGTTTTGTTGCGTGGTGTTTTTGCATTTTACTGTACGGTATAAATTGGTGCTAACAGCCCAGCGAGCTTTGGGTAGTGGTGGCATTAAAGTGAAATAAATGAAAGGAAATGAAGGTGAGATAAGATGAAATCCCCGCATCCGTTATAGCCCGTTCCGTTACTTAGGAGCTGACCTGGGGACGAGGAAGCTCACAGATCTAATACCAGCCTCAAGAGCAAACCTTGGCGCACTGACATATGCCCCTTCCCCTCCTGGCGCCATACACTTATGCGTGTCCACTCAACACACAAAGATGCCTTTGAGTGTCTGAAAAAGGCCTCAGACCTGCTATCTTTCAGCAGCATCAGCGCTACAGCCCTGGAGAGAAGGGTTTGTTGCTCCCCTAATGAACCAGAAGCAGAAGTCAGCAACCAACCCTGCAGAGGAACAAGCCCCAATCCTTAGACTGGCCACTCTAAACCAGGTACCCCGCTGCCTTCCCAGTGTTTTTCTTAGACCTCCCAGGATCCCTGGATATTTATTTACTGATTTTATTTATTTTTGGATTTATATCCTGCCTTTTTCCTACAAAGGCTCAAGGCAGCTTACACCATTCTCCTCCCCCATCTTATCCCCACAACAACAACAACCCTGTGAGGTAGGTTGGGCTGAGAGACTGTGACAGGCCCAAAGTCACCCAGCTGGCTCCATGGCTGAGCGGGGACTCGAACCCAGGTCACCCGAGTCCCAGTCCCATGCTCTTAACCACTACACCACACTGGCTCCCATATGGGCCATACTGACAAGGGCTTAGCAGATCTGTAGTCCAAAAGAACTGAAGCATGCCAGGTTTTCTACCATTGCACCGAACAAATCATGGATAGAGATTTCCTGGCTTGTTTGGCCACTCCCACAGGTGGGAGGAGCCAAGTGGGAGCAACAGAACAGCACGTGCCTGCACGCCATATTGTTCCATCGTGCTCTGTGTGCAGCACAACTATTCTCCTTTTGTTAAAAAAAAGTGAGGATCCCCACCAACTCCATAACAGCCACTTCAGAGACCAGTTTAAAAGAAGATACTGAAAAGCCTTGTAAAAACCAGGGCAGTCAGAGCAAATCCAGCCCGGACGGGACGAGGCATTTCTCTTTTTAGCCCCTCGGCTCTTGTAGCCCCCTGGGGAAAAACGATAGCAGGCACTACGCCTCAGTGACATTTTTAGACACGTGATTCCCGTACACAGCACCAAGCAAGATGCTTCACTTCAGAGCCAAACTTGGGTTCGGTCTTGGTGCTTCCTGTGAAAATGTGCAAGCTTAGTTGGTGCAGCATCCACTGCTGCTATGTGCCATCGAGTCACCTCCAACTTATGGCGACCCCGTGAATGAAAGCCCTCCAAATTCCCTGGCCATCCCTGCAGGGCCTAGTGAGAGCGAAGCAAGAGCAAGGAGCGAGGCGGAGCAGCATATTGGTTGGCTGGAGAAAGCAGAGAGGAGAGACAGCTTTCCCCCCGGCGGCACGTGTGTTGCCCGTCAGAAGCTGCGTGCTGTGCAGGTGGGAGACAGAAGAAGCCCCAAAGATGTGGGCAGCCGATATGACCCGGGGCACTGCTGCCTGGTATGAGGAAAAAGAAAACGGGAAGAGAGCAGAGCGCCGTTTCCCAGCCTCTTAAGTCTAAATGGCTTGGAGCCAGGTTACCCGAAGGATGTCTCTTTGCATGTTACCTACACAAATCATAAAGCCATCGGAGGCCTTCCTGCAGGTGCCTGTCCCAAGGAGTCCACACAGTGGCCAACAGAAAGGGCCTTTTCAGCAATGGCCCCCTTTCCACACGATCCTCTCTCCAGAAAGGCTCTCTGCGTGGTCTTTCTGCGTACCCAGCAAAGATCTCCCGGCCCACCCAGCAGGCATCTTAAGACTTGTTTTGAGCACTTTTCGATTTTTGCATGCTTTTATCCCTGGTGGTGGTTTCACTATCTGTTGCAACTGGGTTTATTGGTCCTGTTTTATTGTCATTGTTGTAGTAGTCTGTGCATTGTTTCCAAATTGTACACTGTCCAGAGAACTTTGGTTACTAGATGGTTTTTGAAAGCAGTAAACACCGTCGGCGGGACACAGAGAATTCCAGCGCTTCCCCAGAAGGGACTCTCGGTCAAAGTTCCAAGGGAAGCCACTGTGGTAATCAGGGGGTCATTCTTCGTTACGATCAAGGCCACCTTTCCTCCAAGCAGGCATGCCTCATTCCCCTGCCCCCCTGCCCCCCCCCCCCCGCACTTTATTCTCAATGAAACTCACATGAGGAAAGTTATGCAAAGAGCTGGCAGGGAACACTTCAGCTGAGTAGGAATTACAAGTTGTGTCTCCAAACTCACAAGGCCCTAATTTCTGCAAGACGAGTGAGCTACTCTGGGAAACCAAAAACAGGGGCTAGTTCAACTGTATTCCTGAATTACCCAGGAAACAAAACAGTCCGGTATTTGTGGCCTATTTACAGTTAAGATCCCTACTGCCTGAAATTTTTATGGGTCTCAGTTAGGGATGTATCAAAACAGGGAAATTTATTTTGTTTAAGCTCAATGGATTCCCCACCCGTTTCTGATCCAATGGATTGGAACAGGGCCAAGTGAGGATTTTTTGGACTTCTGGATCACATTGTGTATATTTTTTAAAAAACTACCAATGGAACTAGATACATTTAAGGGAGTCCTCCCATTCCAGAGACCTAATAAGAGTGAGTGTAGATGCTATAACTTACCAAATAAGATGCGCTTTGTATTGAGCTATATCACATCTTTGATTTGAGAAGGCAAAATTCACTGGAGAAGACAATCACATCAAAGTCAAAGGCAGAAGAGGAAGAATTGGGATGGATCCATTGCATAAAGGAAGCCATAGCCTTGAGTTCACAAGAAATGAGTTGGGCTGTCAAGGACAGGACATTCTGGAGAGAATCTTAATCTCCATCCATCCATCCGAGACAGCTCAACGGCATGCAACAACAACACAAAATTATACATACATGCCTAAGTAAGGCAATGCTACCAAAAGTACACATCCACTTAATTGGTCCTCTCCCCTTGTGCACTTACTGTCCAGCCATGAATAATAACGAAGGTTTTAGCAGAGAGGTTGAATTTACAGTCTTCCAGATGCTGGTCTTCACCAATGGTGAGGAAGCAGCCTTGGTACTCTGAGTCTGCAGAGGTGTAAACACAGAATTTCACATGCAGCTTCTGGCCTTTTGATGGTTTTTCTCCTTGTGCTTGCAGCTGAGAAATGCTGTCATCTGGAATAAAAGTATTTGAAGTTTAGCAGTGGGCAAAGACCCTGAAGAACTACAGAGTGTTTTTGAGTTATCTAAAGCAGGGGCATGAAATCTGTCACCCTTTGGATATTGCTGGACTCAGAGGGCTGTGCTTAAGTCTTGCTTAAGTGGGTTTTCTGTGGGCACCTGGTAGGTCTCTGTATGAACAGAATGTTGCACTAGGTCAGTGGTGGTGAACCTCTGGCACGCGTGCCACAGTGGGCACACAGAGGCCTCTCTGTTGGTACGCAAGCCAAGTCGCCCCAGCATCACCCCAGCAGCCAAACATCAGATAACAGAGCATACAGGGGCCATGTGCACGCTCAGAAAGGAGTAGCGGCGCCAGGTGATGACATCACAAGCCATGACTCATTAGCCGCGACTTGTCCGAGGTTTCACATGGCCGGTCGGTGCACTGCCAAGGATATATATAAGTTTGTATCATTGAAAGCTCTGTTATTGTGTTTTTCTTTTGAGACAAACGATGTTAATGTATGAGTTGTTTTTTTCTAAACTAAAACCTCAGTATTCAGGTTTTATTGCAGTGTTGACACTTTGCAATAAATAAGTGGGTTTTGCAGTTTGGACACTCGGTCTCTAAAAGGTTTACCATCACAGCACTGGGTGGACCCTTAAACCTGATTCAGCCCAGTTTTTCTCATGTTTTTACCTGTGAGTTACAGGTAGCCACAAGCTTACATAAACTCTCCCTTCTTCACGGAGAGATATAATGTATGGAAGTGGCAGCTCTTCACACAAGCAGAAGCACTTGCACGAACTCATTCCTTGCGTATGTTACATGGTACACGAATCCCTTGCAATTCCTGGCCAGCCTTCCACTGGGGATTTACGGAATGGTTTGGGCCAGCCAGTTTTCCTTCGGAAGGAAATAAAACCCTATCTCACAGGATCATCACCAAGGCTGACAATTCCAATTATTTGTGCAATGCCCCGAACAATTTCTTAGAATATTATTAAGCCTGGGAGCAACAAGATACTGCACGTTATTCACAGGAGACAAGATCCAATCCAAAGGCAAACAGGAACGACTGAGAGGCAGAGTTACACAGATTTATATCTCTCCCTCTGTCAAGGAGCTCAATTCACCCCATTTTTATCCTCATAAAGTCTGCAAGGCCTCTTATGATGAGGAATAGCCACTAGGCACAGGCCACTGGCAGGAGAGAGAGCAGAACCTGGGGACTCCATGGCAAGTTCCCTGTTCCATCTACTCCACCTCTAGGACTTCCTCCCCTTCAGTGTCTACTATGCCAATCTGATTTTTCCAGACTTTCAGGAGGGGTTTTCCACATCCCTTCAACAGCTGAGAAAGCCCCAAACATTCTAAGGAGGGTTATCAGGCGCACACTCAGTTCAAGCAGAACTTTGGGTTGTCCTACCGGGCTCCACCACTGAGCAGAAAGTCAAGTGGTTCCACTGGTACACCCCATGTGCAGTGGCAGCTGGGCATGGGTGGAAAGCACTGGCAAAGCTGCCTTCCCTGGAGGCTTGCCTGAGGTTATTCAGAGTCTCAAAGAAGCTCTGATGAGCTTCCAAGAAACCCCAGAACTCTCTAGAAGGGAACATATCCCCATGTCGATCAGACTCGGGTCCTGCTCTCCAGGTCAAGAGGGAGAGCAGGGCAAGCATGTTCGGTCTGCCCCTTCTCCATCAGCGTGCAACTGGCTGCAGCGGAAAACTTCTGTCCATGAAGTTCTTCGTGGGCTTAGGAACCCCCATTTTCCAGGATTCTAAATCACACCAAGAGCCTCCATGGACATGTGGATGGTGACCAGGGTGCAATGCAGATGGAAGGAACACCCTCATTCCTCTTCTTCCTCCTCATGTGCAGAGCTTACACCAGCCTTCCCCAACCTGATGCCTCTAGATTTGTTGGACAGCAACTTCCATATAACGCCCTATGGCCATGTTGGTTGGAGATGAGTCCCAACACGTCTGGAAGACATCGGATTAAGGAAGGCTCCCGTATTTACCACAACGTCTAATGGAAGGTCTCTCCTGTCCTGAACCTACTTGGACACGACAGTCGATATCAGAGACCTTCCTTGGAGCACCTTCTCCAGGAGAGTCATTCCAAGAGATGGCAGCAAGGGAAAAGGACTCCTTAGTGGTGGCCCCGATCGCGGAACATTCTCCCTACTGAGGTCCACCTGGCACCCACACTACCACTCTTCTGGCACCATGGCTTATGATGTGACATGTATGTCTGTTGGTTTTATCAAGCCCAGCATCTTATTGAAGAAAAAACTGTAATTTTTTACATCCCAGGATTTTAGATTATGCCTTTCTGATCTCTTATTGTGGCTGTCTTTTGGGGAACCACACAGGAGCTTCAGGTATTAGATGCTATAGAAATACAACACACGAATGCATGAATGTCATATAAGATTGACACATATAAATAGGATTTTTAAGGAAAAAATACCCATTTATTTCTTTCCCATCCCAAAAGATCAGGTCTCAGATGTACTTAAGATACCAAAAAAGCACAGACAGCAGTGGGTCCTACTTGTTTGCATGAGAGCTGCAAAGAACTGAATGCTATGCATGCATACTGGGACAATGCAATGCACACAATATCTTTGTGTACAGTTTGCAGAGCGATCAAGCCCATGAGCCCCACATCCCCTTCCTTAAGGCTCGTTTAGCATCATAGGCAAACTGTGGACAGGTGGACTCCGTTGGGAAACCTGCCGAGTGCAGAGCTCAAGTTCCATGCACAGTGCATTCAGAAAGACCTAGTCCATACATTTATGCCGCACCCATGCTGAAGAGGGAGTGCTCCCCCTTAAAGATGTCCAGTCCTTTCACCTAAGCTGCTCCAGCCCTCCTCAATCTGTTGTCTTCCCGATGTTTTTGGACTACAGCTTCTATCATCTGCAACCAGGGCTGATGAAAATAGCAAGTCCAAAGCTTTGGGAAGGCACCTGGCTGAGGAAGGCTGGCCTACACCAGTGCAATGTGCGCAAAGACCTGTCGTTTCTTGTACAACACTGACTATGACCCTGAAACTCAGCACCTGTAGTGGCATTTTCAATAGAGATTATATATTTCGCATGCATCACCAGCAGCCTGACAGAAAAGAATATTGCAATGAAGACTGCTTTACGTAGTTAGTAACAGAGTTCCTAATTATTTAGTTAGGAATGCTCCCTTCCGTACACAGAGCCTTGGCTACAGACCTATCTCTGCTCATCTTCCACTCTTTTGAGCAACATTCTGGCCTATCCTTTATGCTAATATGAATCAGGAAACCACAACCTGTTGGTTTCCCAAAGAAGCAAAGGTGAGAAGAGACCTTGAGGAAGAGAAGCACCCAGTAGAGCAGGAATACCTCCGCTGTACGTTGCACGTGGATGGCTTTATAAGCTGCAGTAGTAAAATTCAGGTGGAAGGAAGGGGAATTGCATGAGGTCCCATCACAGCGGCAAGTTGATTTTAAAGTCCCAGAACCGGCGGAGCAGGCTAGACTAAGCTCATGTCGGCAAGAGGGATCATGTCCTCAAGTGCCATTTCTCACTGACTGCCCTCCAAATTCCAGAGGGCACCAGTGGCAAGACAGTGAGTTTTATCTCATTTTTAAAAAGAGGCACAGGAGACTCACCAACGAAAGTTAGAGTATGAAACTTGCCTGCTCTCTCACTCAGTGCTTTGGGCATAGTCATCTAACGCCAAAACCCTGTGCATGCTGATGCAAAAATACAAAATGCAGCCTTCTCCCATCTGGTGGTTCCTTGCTTATTCAGACTTCAACTCTCATCAGCCCCAGCTAGCTGATCAATGGTCAGGACTGCTGGGAGTTGTAGTCCAAAGCATCCGGAAGGCTCTAGATTAGGGAACACTGCCTTATTTTGCTCCATGGGGCTTACTCCAAGGAAAATTGATGCATCCCGGCATCAGTCTCCATTAAATTCAGTTCCTATTTAAGAACCACAGGTTTGGCATTTAGTATCACAACAATGCAACAATCGCATGAGCACTGGTAGTGCTTCTTATGAGCTGAGGCTTATTTCCACAAGGTCTTCCCACAATCTCCTTCAAATTTGTCCTGAATAATCAAGAGCTTCTGGGCATGTACAGAGTGTCTCCCTTTTTTTGAGCAAGGACAAGCAGTCCCGACATATAAAAGGTCTTTCTGATCAGACAGTTAAGTCTGAGACAGCCTTGGGTTCTGGGATATTCATTTAGAAAAATTAAGGATATGTTAATTAGCACTAACTCCAAGCAGAGCTCAAATAAAAACTCAACTCACAGCAAAATAAGTTCTCTTTAGGCCTCCTGTGATAGTAGCAAAGAAACTGTTCTGATCAGGGCAGTTTTAAACCGGCCTTTTTAAACCTGAGTCCCTGTGTTAAAAGGAAGTCATCAAAGCCGCAAGCTAAAGTAAGGCAGTCAGAGGTTGCCTTGTTGCCCACTCAGAAGTACGACCTGTTGAGTCTATGAAACTGACTGCCAGGTAAGTAGGTACAAGACTGAAGGCCCTGCATCCTCCTCCTCCTCCTCATCGTCATCCCATCTATTGTGGAATTCTATGCAATCCCATCCCGGGTTGGCCAAAGCACCCATCACATCCTGCATTCTCCCGACACCATCAGCACCCACGACTGCTCCCAGGAAACCCAGCAGCAGGACAGGCGTGCAACAGTATCCTCTTGCCCATGTTCCCCAGCAGCGGGTGTGCCTAGGTATACCGCTTCTGATGAGAGGATACAGTGGCGCTTTCACGAAGCAGCTGTTTTATCAGCCACAGGAGCAAGGGAGACCCGGCGAGACTTTCAAAGGCTTTACGCGTCAGGTCTTGTGCATCCTTAGGCAGAAGTCCTGCCCCCCTCAGCGCTGCCAGCCGACTGTGGGGTATTCTTCTACTAAACATGGATGGGAGTGTGGCCTGAGAGCCCGACCCGCTTCCCCGGCAGCAGAAGGCTCATCTGGAGGCCAGAGCTGTCAGGAGCGCAGAAGACAAAACAGCGCCGG